AGGGATCACACCACAATAAGCGCAATGTTTTGGAGCCTCGCAGGACCCATGTGTCATGCTTGATAAGAGGGTCCTGCAGGGCTCGGAAACGCTGCACTTGTTGTGATGCGATCGCTGTAATAAATTCTTGGGCTGTTGCATGGCTCCATGGTGTGCTGGTGACACCTGCGTTCTTCTGACTTGCGTCCCGTTATGTGCTTGTTCCGACCTTGAGAAAGTCATTGCTTGCATACGTTCTCCGAGCCAGCTCGGGGTGACTCTGGACAGACGGAACATAAAGCTCCGAGCCGCCAGCTGTCTGCCGATGCCGCCCGGTTGTGTTTTGTCAGTGGTGCCCGCAGAGTCTGCTGTGCAGTAGAAGGAAGGAATGTGCTGACCTCGGCAGTTTGGTGCAGTCTTTGATGTCTTGTTGTACCTCCTTCCTCAGGATGTGGTGCTGTACTGTCTGCAGCGAGATCCAGGAGACATCAACCACCGAGATAACGCTGGATACACCGCCCTGCACGAGGCTTGCGCGCGCGGCTGGACCGACATCCTACAGGTCCTCCTGGATAACGGGGCCAACGTGAACTGCAGCGCTCAGGACGGGACCCGGTAAGTGAAAATCACCCGGTGCCCCTCTGGACCCCCTAACGGGCATTATATTGATGGAGTGGCATGTCTGCGCTCCAATGCCGGTGATGTAATTGGTGTGTCATTGACATTCCTTTTGTTATGACCTAATGGCTGCATCTGTCCTCTGCTTTCTATGGTCCTGCTTTGCTTTCGAACCTCTCTGCTTTATTGTACCGCTACTGTTCCATACAGCCCCCCCCCCGTACCAGTCCTCCTTCCCCAGCTCTAGAAATTGCATCCCGTTTAATTCTTGATCCAGAGACCCCCATAGGATCCCCATTGTCCCCTCCTTCAGCCTGCCGATTGACCGGCAAAGCCAATACATACAACAATCTAACTGCATGCAGCTTAGTGTCAGTGCGTGGAAGCGATGGTATCCGCCATAGGCAGGGACAGATCTCATTACCAGTAACGGGGATCTATGTCAGACCAGTCGGCTGGCAAACTGCAGGTGGTGGCAGTCTACCCTGAATCATGTGTCTGGTGCATGTAGGCAGTGGTGGAAATCCCCTGGCTGCTACACAACCTTTAGGCCTCATTCACAGGAGAACCGGCCGGCATGTTCAGCTCCGTGCTGCGTGCACGGTCTTGTTGCTCGGCTCCCCGGAAGGACAGGAGCTGTGTGTGATTAGTACGTCCCTGTCAGTCCCCGTCCTTCTCTATGGGACTATGTGGTCGTACGCCGCCCTACGCTCACCCGCCCTGCACGTCGGTGCGGGTGTCCATACTCGTACGCTGACAGGATGGATCCCGTCTGCGTCCGAGCCGGGACATCCGCACCCGCACGGACCTGCACTTTGGGTGAGCGTAGGGCTGCGTACTCCCATAGAGAAGGACGGGGGCTGCGTACTAATCACACGCAGCACCTGTCCTTCCCGGGAGCTGCCCGATACGGCCGTGCACGCAGCACAGAGCTGTACATGCCGAACGATTCTCGTGTGAATGAGGCCTTGGAGTGCACCAGATCGTCTGCAAGATTTACATCTGCCTGCGTGTGTCCAGCCAGCTACAGTTTGCGCGAGTCTCCCTCCAGTGGTGGCTGTCGGTATCACAGGCTGTGATGACTTTCCCAAAGCAAGCTCTTTTCTCGTCCCTCCTTCCCATAATGGGATCTTGCTCCGGTTGGCACGTTGCTGTGGGCCTGATCTCTTGACATCAGCGATGAGGTCACAAGGTAATATCTGGGTTTGTGAAGGCATTTGCTGTACACAGATATCCTGCAGCTAGGGAGAAATATATGTAGATGAAAGTTTTGTGCCTATAAGCATCTGTTCGGATAGTATCTGGAGAGTACAGGATCGGCTGCAGGGTGCAGGAGACACACAGAGGACTTGGGTCCTTGGAAGTCTGACATTGTAGGAACGGCGGCTCAAAAACACTGAAGCCCCTGTGACCGCGAGAAGGTTCAATGCTGCAATCGGGACTTCTCCCCTGAATCTAGGACCCGTCACAGTTTGGAAGCTTGGTTTTTTTATTTTATTTGAAGAAGATATTTTTGCTCCATCACCCCGTGCAACCAAATCTTGTCTTTGCAAGGCCGGGACGCTACCGATGTGTGCAGCAGATCTCATCAGCAACAGGAAGTCACATGAGATTCCGGGCTGCTGGTTCTGCAATGTCAGACG